TTCGACTGGACGTGACGAATTAACTCGTTATAATTCATTTGGCGAGACGCGTGAAAAAGCTTTTGGTACATTGGTTCTCCAGTTAAAGGGTTATTACTGTTTCATAAAAAAAAGAAAAAATGAGGGAAACTACTTTCGTGTTGATAGAGGTCTTAAATAGCGTACGAAATATGTCTCTGTTTATAAGTTGCATGAACTTTCTACAGCACCTAATAGATAAACGTCACGTCTCGGTATAAATGAAGCTCTTTGATCTCGCTTGTTTCCATTCATCGGGCATGTTTAAAACCAAGTACAACAGTGTCATTTTATTTGCGATAATTACAATGTTTGCATTGAAAGTCCTCTTAGATACGATACGAAATCGTACGCGATACACGTTCCTCCCCTTTTATTTATCCATCTTCGCGATTTAGCTATTCTTTCTTCGACGGTGACGTGTGCAGAATATCGTCTTCTTCGAACACTTCACATTGTGCAACATGTGGCGATTTTTCTTGCCTCTCTTTCTTCACTTTCATTTTTCTCCTGCGGTTTCGAAGTCAAACACGTAACAAAGAACAGAATCAAACGTGCCGATGCCTGCAACCGACAGCAGGTACGTGTCTGTTTTCCCTCGACAAAATGGGAATACTGTTTTGTCTCTACAGTGTTTTATATTTTATTTTGCGCACACGACAATGAACGTTGCACTTCGTCATGTTTTGAATAACAACATTGGCAATTGTTCATTCAGCAACAAGAAAACAAAGCCGAGTCTCTGGTTTTGTATCGGCAACAAACAATCGTAAATTTTAACCCTTCGACAAGATTTTGAAATATTTCAATTCCGTTGGAAAATATTGGCCGTGTGTATATAAATTTGAATACTGCGGTGACCACCGTCACTATAAATTTAGTATTAATATTTAAAAGAAAAAAATTATAGAAAAATTCAAAGTATTATATTAATTTCATAAAGTAACAAGTGGAAAGCCTAATTTCCCAATTTTCAACCCCTTCGCTACGGTTGTCCTTGCCGGAAACAATTTTGTTTATCAAATTTTAGTTGTAGCGAGAAATATTTTGGCGTAGGTATTATATGAATATTTTTGTTGCATGTTTGCTATTGAAAAAATATTCCAAAATAAAAGAGAAATTTGTGCATGAAAAACTATGAAAAATTTCACCATTCCTTTTTCATCGTCAATCTGTAGAGAAATAAATTGAACTTCTGTCAAAGGACAGAGAGTATAAAAGAGTTCACACACAAAATTCGATTTTTTGTTTTACCAAAATCAAAAATTCTGCAATCGTATACACCGTTCATTCAAAAGGCACCTTTTTCGAGAATACATGTGTTTTATTCAAGTATTGATTTGAAAGAAAAGTAAAAATATATGTTCTAATAAAATATCAAATTGTACTGAATTGTAATTTTAATTAAAAAAATATTTAATTCCAACTTGATAATCACTTGACGTTTTAACTTGACTTCACACGTTCGTTCTAATTAGCAAATAATAAGTTTCGTTTTAATACCATTTACACGAGAACGTTGCATTAATGGTGCAAGTAAAACTGTTGTCCAGAATGATTTACATTAATCACAGTAGAATTTGCATGCAGTCGCCCATTCTCTCTCGACGCGTTGTTTCGAATGGGAACGATTCACGTTCTAATTACGCTGTTACGAGATGCAACCGAATTCAAGAATTTTTACACATCGGTTCTCTCTGTTATTATTCCGCTCGCGATTCCTTTGCTGCATGATTCAAACCGCCTGCATATTAATTGAAATGTCACGTTCAAACGATTTTACGCGAATTTTCTTTTTAGAATACTTTACAATTTATTTTAACCCCCTATGGACCAGTGTAACTTTGAGGTAATATATCAAATTCAAAACTTTTTTTGCTTATGTAACATTGTAATCTACAAATATTGTTCAGAGGAATGGTATCAAAGTTCATTTTCCTTTTTGCCTAATTTTGTTAATATTAATGTTAAAATTGATCCTTTAATGTAAAAAAATTCTTATTAATTTTATTTGAATTGATATAAAAAATTACAATAAATAGCATTTGCAAATCTTACTGAAACAGGCATAATTTCAATTTAATTTTATATTTTATATTATTTGCATTTTCTAAATTTTAAACTATTACTTGAATAGTATCTTTCAGTGTATGAAACATTTTCGTTTAAAAAGTGATACGCCTAGTTTTAAGTAAAAATTTCATTGGACACATTTTGTAGGTGTAGATCACGATTGACTCTGCACTCGGTTGACAGCCTTCCCGTTTCAAATTTGCACGCGTTTAAATAACTTTGTCACTATGCGTCAAAATGTCTTTGTTCTGTTTTTGGAGCACGTTTTTCCTTCTGCATATGAAACATTTTGACGGACACTTGATACTCTATAGTATCAAATATAAACCAGGTCACATTTGAATTTGAAAAAAATCATTTTGATATTACAATTCTGTATTGTGTTATAGAATTATTTATTTTATTCCATACGATTAATAAATATTTTTTTGTTTAAATCTCAGAAATCCTAATTTTAATATCATAATTAAGTGGCGTGGTATAAAATATTTTATTTATTTTATTTCTTGCAATTAGTGAACATTTTTTTATAAATCTTAAAAATCCTATAAATTTTTTGAAACACCCTCTATAATTCTGTCCAAAAAATCTTTGCAATTAATATGCTAATTTGTGTCTGAGAAGCTCACACGATGCACGTAACGCCCTTAATTGTACAGACGCAATACACATCCATAAAGGTAAAAAATAAAACGGTGAAACATGAGTCGAGCATTACAAATTCCCGCCTTGAGTCGGCGTAACTTTGTTCGAAATCCAAAGTCCAGTCACGGGATGCAAATGTCTTTGCTCCTCCTCTTTGCACTTCTGATGCAGCTCATTTTTGCCCGATGCGTCTACCACGGCGATTCTATCGCGAGCTAAAGCTGTTCGCCACTCGCCTTTGATAGGGAGAGACAGATCGACAGAGAAACCGAGAAAAGAATCAACCGGCAACGAGGAGAACCGTGTACGTGCTTGGAAATCGTTCCGGAACGATGACTCGATCATTGACGAACATGTTTCAAGCATACTGTGAACCAACACGTTTCTCTTACGAACCCTTTCCAATGGCGAACCATTTATCGATACGCGATGCACCTGTTCTCCGGCGACGAAAGAAGAATGAAACGAATTATTCATAGACGGAATTGTCTTCAGAAGTTTTCTTCTTTTGCATTTTTCATGAAACTAGGTTTCTTGACTTAACTAAATATTCAATTTCTTGTGAAAATATTTTACAATATAACGTATAGCAATTATTCTACTTTTCAAAAATTTACTATCAGGAAGAATGAAGAATTTGATACAAGATACATGTAAAATGTCATTTTTTCAAAAAAGTGACATCTGAGGTCCAGATATATGTTTCCAAAAAATCAAAATTTTTAAATTTTGCCTATTTTTAGATATTTCAGAACGGCGTATTTGAAATTTCAAAAATTATGAAAACCCATACTTATCAGAGCAACATTGGACAATTTTGTTGTAAAATTAGTGGCTTTAAAATTTAAATTGTAAATCATTGATTAAATCAACAAAGACTCATCTCCGTTATTCGAGGGTTGAATAGTGAAATCTCCTAACGCGTTAGTAAATCCCGTATTTACAGCCAAGTGTAAAAGAGGTTCAAAGCATCATGTATTGTCGTTCGGCGACGTTTTGTCGTTCCAAGAAGGATCGACGACGTTAAAAGTGCCGTGGCTCGTAAAAGTCCACGTACGAATTCGAATACGACTTTAATGCTTCCGTCGCCGAAGACATAAACTGGGAATACACTCGAAGCAGAAGCGGCTGTTTATCACGACACTTCACAAGATACCGGTCCTACTTTTATGAATTACCCTCTTCGATAAAAAGTAAGTTTCACTTGAAACACTTTTCGAATAACAAATAATTTGGAACATAATTGGGTGAAAGGATTAAAATGAGTCATTCTGTATGTACCGGTTCTGTTAAACGAATGCAGTCATATGCAAATTTGCTAAAATTTAAATGAAGTACCCTAAAGTTCAAAATTCTCAACTATTAATGATTTATATTTTGAAAATAAATATTTTTTTAACTTTCTGACTGCTAAATATGAGGGTGAGTACCTTCCTCGTAGACTTCCCTGGGGAAAATGAAATGTAACGAATATTTTCCTATATTTGTACCTATTTTCCAGTTTACCACTAAATTTTATAATATTTAATAATTACAAATTATATCATTTCTCCTAATTAATTTCCTATTTTTTAAAAATTAACATCATCATAGATTTATTCGAATAATAAAGTCTTTCGAATTTGATTAATTTTTTTACTTGCACGTTAAAAAAACCGTGATATATAGTTACTCTTAAGTGATCAGAAACTGGGTCCTTGACTATATGCAATTAGTAACAAACACTGATAATTTCTAGGTAATCATATGTACCAGATAGAAACAATCGCCAAATATACATATCGACACCTGATATGAACAACACTGTAACTTTTACTACGTTGCTTTTTAACTATAATACAAACGTATTTGAGAAAATTTTCTTTCTGTCCAGGAATTATTTAAAAATGAAACATTATAACTCTACATTTCTTAACTTTTGTCTTAAAAAAGATTATATATTGAATTATAAAAAATATTTTGTTTAAAATTTAAAAATACTCAAAAGAAAAGAAAAAAGCTATACTCAAAAGCTTGTTACACTAGCAGATGTAAAAAAATAGAGTCAATAAATTTGTAAATCGCTCTTCTATAAACCTAGCATAAACTAGTTACAATGCTGATCATATCAGGTGACGATATGAGTGCAGTCTACACTGACAGCCTTTACTGGAGGCACATGTGCATCCGCAGCAGTCAAAGGGTTAACCACGGTGCATATTTTTCTGAGGATCTCAAATGAACGTGCAGACAAATATGAAAGATAAAACAACAAGTGTACTCACTCTCCGACGCGTTCGCCATTCCAGCATCGTTTGTCAGGATACTCTTCGCAGATCGTGTCGGCCAAAGTGCCGTAGAAGGTCCTTGATCTGACGACACTGGCCAAGAAATTACCCAGCTGCACGTACAACTGAGTTGGTACTGTTCTATGCGTGCCAGCCGATGCAGCTGCGTGCATCTCCAAGTTGTTCGACGTCGATTTCCCCGTTGCAGCTGCATCCGAACCCGTAACGGACCCTTCGTTCGATGGCTGCAGCTCCGAACGACCGCACACTTTTCTCACCTGAAACACGTCAACATATCTTTCTTTACCCTTCTGCAATTCAAGGTTCAACGGGCTATGATTCTTGTGTTAAAAATAACCCTTTGATTGTTCTTTCGCTACGGCGTCTTTTCTTGCTTTATTGCACGTTCAATGGACAGAAATTTTTTTCGTAAATTGATTGGCTCGTTGAGAAATACGAGATGCTTTAAGCTTGGAAATTTTGTTATGGGTTGTTGATGGAAAAGAAAGGGCGTTACGGTCTGGGATAGTGTTGATGGGTTAAATAATTTAGTCGTTTGTCTAGTGAATCTCTTTCTTAGTGAATCTCGATACTGGCTCGAGGAAAGCTCAAGTTTATCTAATATTTTGAAAATACTTTTATTTTCTATTATTTATAGCTTCAAGTAAATAATACGAATATTTCTAATTAGATAAATAGAATAATTATCACTAAATGTAGATACCTGCATATTTTAGAGGAAGAAATCGAATATCAGCAATAAAAGACTTATTCAAACTAATTTAAATATAATGAATAAAACGTGTATACTACCAAACACAATAAAAATGAATAAACTGAAAATTGTATACAATCAAGCATACGGAATTTAAACTGAAATATGTTTCATTTAATAACAATATATTAAAAGAACAAAATTATAAAACAATATAACAATTTATCAATTGCACACTTCACTGAATAATATTAATAGCCTTATAAATAATCATTATTTAATAAAAAAGAATTTTATGAATAAAACGTGTAGTGTCAACCAGACTCAATATGAAGTACAATATAAATGAATAAATTGAAAATTGTATACAATAAAACGTATGGAATTCAGTTTAATAACAGTATATTAAAAAAAGAACATTTTTTTCAAAACATGATATTTCCAGAAAGGTTTCAAATAAATACTTCAATGAAGAAAAATAATGGCCGTATAAATAAACATTATTAAGAGAGAAAAAGAAGTTCTTTTACATTTTGATGTTCTTGTAACTACACTTCAATTCTGGTTTCCAACGAAACGTGTAAAGCAGTAGGTCGATACAAAATTACCATGTGCTCAGCTAGATTGAACCCTTTCACTCGTTGAAATATGAATGCATTTATCATCGTACAGCTCGTCAGCGGGTACTTCAATTTTCTCAATAGCGACATCGGTGAAAAAAGAATTCGCGGTCGATGACTTGCCGCAGATGGCGAATGCAATTAACTTTTCGCCATCTGCAAAAAATTATGTCGAATTTTCACCGACTTAACATTTCTCATTCCCTGAAACGGTTCGCGTTTCACGGCTCTGTTTTCCGGAAATTAAACGAGTCCCGCTCGCGTTCACTGTAAAATCGTCCATTCGTCACGTAACCGACACTAATGTATTCGTTCGCAAGAAGCACGAAGAATTATCATCACCACGGTATAGAGCTTATAATTTACGAGTGTCAAGCGATATTATTATCTTCAATCGTGTTTTCCTTTTTTCTGGAAAATCTAGTCATGGTAATTTCATATCAATATTTATAATGGTAAAAATGTTGATGACGAAGTAGATTATGTTAAGTCGAAACGAGTATATAAGTGCTAGTTATTACTTAAGGTTTTATTTTAATGAATTTAGAGTAGACATTCATTTAGCGAAGTAATTAATTTCTCTAAAGAAGTGAAAAGTGCTCTTTGTAGTTGGGCTTCCAGAAAGTATACGGGTTACTTGTGAGATATCCGGGTAGACAAAAATTACCCGGGTACCCGAATTACTCGTTAGATACCTGAGTACTAAATGTCAAGTACCAAATTTTCCACTTAAATTTTAGTTGATTTCTGCAATAAACAACCCCAATTTTGCCGAATAAGCTAGAGTCTACTCAAGGATTAATAGTTAGCTTATTTCATGGCTGATCGTATTGCAGGCATGTTCATAGAAACGTTTGCATACGCGATTGTCATTAAGGTTATCGTTCGTGCTTCCACGACCGTTTTCGTCCCAATTACTTTTTAACGCCAGCCATAAAAGGAAATAAGCCGACGGTCGAGCTTCTCGAAACGGTATAATCGTAAAACCGGCCCTGTCGTAATTAAGACGGCACGCGTGGGCGTGCAAACATCGCTCTCCTCATCTTCGTCGATTTCCTTTTTATCTTGCTGCGTTATCCTCCCCTTCTACAGTAAGATTCTATGCTTTCGACGGGATTCCTCGTCGTTTTTCCTTTGTTCTTTCTTAATGTCTGCTCTCATTCGTCTAGTGATTTCATTAGCATAGATCCTTCGACTCGTTTCACTTTATAGGGAACAGGTATCAAATTATTTTATAAGATGCTTCTGATACTTCTTGAAATTAGAGGATAATCGTTGGAAGAAGTGTCTTTCAAGAGCACTCTTATCCTTTGCTAGTAAGATGAAGTTTCAGAGGCACCTATTTTGAAATAATTTTTTATCTTGTGCATAATTAAGTATTTTTATCTTCAGAAGTTTTGAGATTTTGTATACAGGTGCTTATTATCCAATCATTTGAACGTTTTGGGTAATTTAATTATGTTATATAAATTAATTAAATTAACAAATCAGTCAATGTCAAATTAGGCACCGGAGGATATAGAATATTTTTTAAAATTATATTCTCCAAATTTTAGCCAAGTAATGTAACTTATTATGAAAATAAGGATATAAGGACGCGATTGCAATGAGACAGAGTCAATAATTGGCAATAGTTATTTTCTAATATTAAACGTGTAAAACAAGGATTTCCTAACGACCGAGATAACTGGATAGATAAAACGATCGTTCGACGAACGTAAGATCCGGGTTCAACAATTCTTTTTCACTTTACGATGCATTAGTTTCAGTTAAGTCGAAGTAGAACGAAGAACACGCCAATTACAGCAGCAAAACGCTTCATAATAGCTCGACGACGATAAACGGTGACCTCTTTTCTTTTCTCCGATGAAGGTTTATAATCTGCCCCGACAACCTGTCCAAGTTTTGACATCCATTTCCTGTTCGATACCCTTGATTTTGCTAATTTATCGATCATTATTCACACGAATGTGAATAACCTGTATTGTATCTCAAAATTAAGAGAGATTTCTTTTGAAAAATGTAAAAAAACTCTAAAGGTACTTTTACAGGTGATTATTAAGAAAATTATAGTCTACAACTTCAAACCAAGAACCCTTTCTTGGACGCTGGTTTCAAAAGTGCAAGACAGAATAATTACAATTACAATCTAAAATACAGAAGGTTAAAATTTTTTATTATCTACATTAAATTTGTTTGGGAAATACACACGGATTTGGAAAAAGATTAATAAATATGGTAATCAAAGTGGTATCACACGATGTTTTAGTACGCATATTTGCAAGTTACTCTTTCCTTGGCCTCCCACGCCATTGTACCGAGGAAGGAGGATCTTCCGCCTCCTCCGCATGAGTACTCGGCGTTTCACCTTCGTGAAATGAAAGGAGGCGGCCGATAACTCTACTCGAGTAGACGCGTCACCCTTGACCCGAAATATAAACGATAATAATGTATTCTCTTTCTACGCCGCGATTCAAATGAAGAAGATTAGAAGATTGAGGGATTATCTCGTGATAAGCGCACGCATACCGAACCTCCCGCGACCTCTTCGTGCCGACGTTAATGTATGATAATGGACCGCGTGGTCGGGGACTTGAAACGATTTTGTATCTCGATAGAACGATGTCTCGTAACACGAAACTGCGTGGGAGAAGAATTGTTGGACATACTTCTTCTCTGTCGTCCACGTGTTTTTTTTTTTTTTACTCCTTTGTCTGATGTTTGTACTTCTTCTTATTCAATAACGTCATTTTTATTAACGCTTTGACTGTCATATTATTCATATGTGAGTGACATTCATTATTTTTATGGTACTTATACATGTATTCAGCAAAGAAACGTTTAAGATCCTTTTGATGCTCATTATTGCTAGAAACAAGCAATTTATTATAATTTATGAGGTCAATTTATCATCACTAACAAGTGTATTCATGTTGAGGAATGTACTCGTTTTATTTCAGTTATAGAGACAATATTTTGTTCTTGTAATTTTTACAAAACGAGAGCCCCAATTTTAATTTAACTCTATATTTCATATTATTTCTATTTTCTAAATTTTATGGTTCCATTTTTTAAGATTGAACTTGAATTATTATTACGATAATTTTATGTTTTTTTAATGTCAATATGCTAAATATTATTCTCATTTACAAAGTGATTCTATCTAATTTTCTATCGTTAATTAAAATATCTAATGAAGCTTGAAAAGGAGAAAAATTTTGATGCTCCAAAACGTTGCTAAAAAAGTAGGTACCTATAGTATTATTTTTAAGTTTCCTTTACGTTTTATCGATTCTCGTAATTATTTTCCACGGTCGTAGAAACGGCAGTTCGTTTACAAGGATCAGCAGCTCTGCGAAATCAGAACTTGCTCGTTATTTGATCGCCCGGGCAAATAGAAAGGAAAAGAAGAAAAAAGAAAAAAAAAAATAGGAGCGAACTACTACGGGAAATCCTGCGACTGCGATATCCCCTTCGTTTGCATACTGCCGCCAGGGTGGTCCGTGAACAATCGATATGCGGTTCGATGTTACCACGAAATCGGACGGTGAGGGTGGCAGTGGTATCGATGTCGGCGATAACGCGATATCGATGGCAAGACAGTAGGGTGAACGAACGTCGAGACCGCTATTCTAGCGCAATAGAACAACCAGAGCGTCGTTAACAGGGACAATGACGTGAAATCTTACTGTTCACCGGTAACGCGATATCTCTTATGTACAGTGTTGGTTTGGTGGTTCGTTTAGACTCGCTTCCTTCCGGTCTTCTCGCTCTTTTCTCTTTTTCACTCCGATGCCACATACACCGAATAATCCCCCTCGCGCAGATGAGTCATGGGTAAATGATAAGCAAAGGTGTAAATTCGACCCCCCTGAGAGAGACAATATTTCCAAGAAATATTCTTTGGTTTTATTTAGAGGATGACATACACATAGATAGTTGT